AAGAATAGGTCCAGGTAGATGATATCCGTAGTTCTTCTCTTGTCCAGTGATGCAGTCTCTTGATTGAAGAAGACTGCTGGATTAGAAATTAATAATATAGGAAAGAAGGTGTTTGTACTGTATCTATATAGGATGGAGTTACTTTTCTTCATAGAAGTCTCTATGGTGCTATGCTTTGCATTTGTGGCTAAAACAGTGTTGATGACAGCAGCGTTTTTGCTACTGCTGAACACTGTTTGCACAGTGTCAATGCTGTCTCTCTTTTTCTTCCCCCCGGACCTCCAGCAAGTAAACTAGGGGTGAACAAGAGATTGGGAGGGAACACAGCTGGGATAGCTGACCAAAGGGCTATTCCATACCACATGATGTCATGTTCAGCAGTAAAAGCTCAGGGGAAAGAGGAGGAAGGGGGGACATTTGTGGTTGTGGTGTTTGTCTTCCTAAGCAATTGTTACATATACTGAGACCTTTCTTTCCATGAAGTGGCTGGACATCTGCCTGCTGAAGGGAAGTAGTGAATGAATTCCTCTATTTGGTTTGCTTGAGCATGCAGCTTTTGCTTTCTCTGTTAAACTGTTATTAACTCAATCCATGAGTCTTGACTTTCTTCTGCTTTCTCCCCATCCCACAGAAGAGGGGAATGAGGAAGAGTCTGAGTGGATATTTTGCTGCTGGCTGGAGTCAACCCACCATGCAGTTTTCCAAGTGAAAAATATAGTTAGACAGTGAAATAACATTTCTGCCATATGCATTGCATATTTAAATAGCAAAATTTTTACAGAAGGAAGAATTAAAAATGAAAGCTGGAACACAACCTTAGGTAAGTAATTGATATTATTTAGGTTCAGTTGTGTCATTTATTATCATAAAACCACACCATTTTAAATATATACTTATGAATATGCATTACTGCAAACTAAGTGGCAGAAGAAACAACTTCTTAGCACACATTAATTTACTTTTGGCAAGCCACTTCCTAAATTATCAGGAAACTCTCAGCCTTGTCTATTTTTGTTCTGCATTTTATTGTTGTAATTCTTATAGACATTAGTGCTTTGTTAAATAAAGGAATGTGGCACAGTAAATACATTACAACAAAATAGATGTCAAGTCCCCCTCAACCCAAACTCCCCCCCACCCCACCAATGAAACCATTGCAGCTCCGTTACAGAGAAAGGGTCAAAGATCTGTCACAAAAACATTAGAGGAGTTACATTCAGATGTGCAGGATCACATTCTAGGCTCATTTATATATATGGAGAGACCACCAAGTTCAGAGTTTACAAAGAACCATATTGTTACACATAAAATACTATACTTTTCCCAATACTTTATAATAATTCCTCTTCAACCTTTTTACAGAGCAATAACACAAGAGAGTTAGGGCACTGCACAAAATATGTACAAGAGATCTCATGCACATTGTCATCTTCAGAAACTAATTTTATTTAGAAAATTAAGGAAAAAACACACAAACAAAATCTGGAAGTTCCAACCAAATCTAAAATCACAACAAGATTCAACACAAGTGGAGAAACTTGCTAATAAAAAGGATGTTTCATCCTTAATGTAAACATTGAAGCATTAATAAGAACATATGAAATAGTGAAGAGGCAAAAAACTTTTCAGACCTTTAACAGAAGAAGGAATATAAAATGGTAGTTTATTGGTTTGAATCCATGGAGAATTCACACATCTAATCTAATAAACTATTGCACTACTGTAGAAAATTGCCAACTCTTCCTTTTGAGCTTTTTCTCACAACTATCTTTACTTTTGCAAACTAAAATGGTGGGATTTTTTACAAGATGCACCAGGAGTGCACACTGGAAACTTGTCAGTGTAGAAATCTTATATACATATTACAATTAATTGGAAAAATGAAGATTTTTCACTAGACTCCAATCTTACATGCTTAGCTTGAAGCATCTGTTCACCATGAAGTCAACAGGTGCTTATAATTAGTTATATGCTTGATTACAGGAAAACAGCCTTGGTTTTAATCATTCTGGTTTTTGTGTGTTTAGGTTTTCATCTCCCACTGAGATCAATGGGAAGACTCCTCAACATGAGTTAGACAGAACCACAAAAACAAGTGAAGTTGAGAGTTTAAAACACAGTAGGAATCAATGTGTGATAACTGTCTTATGACTGTTGAGTTTCCTCAGACAACTAGAAAGGCTGCACTGTATATAACCTACTAAATAGTATATGGTTATATATATGTGATGGTTTGGACTTGGCTCCCTGCCAAATGCCCAACTCCCCAGTAGTAGCCCCTCTCTTTCCCCCTTTCTACTTTCCCCAGGGCAAAGGAAAAAAACTATGCAAACTGAAGAACCCGAAAACCAAGGTAGTTATATATAAAAAATATATTTTATGTATATTGCAGTTAAGATGCTATGTACACAGCAAACGGGAATCCAAACACCCCCCGAAGGGATAGGGAAAGGGGAAAAAGGGACAAAAGGAAACAAAAAGGGACACCGAATAGATATGCGCAATCAAACCCGAGAACTAGTAAAATAACTAGTAAAACAAATCTCACCACATCCCTTAGAAAGCAGGATTGGCAGACGCTGCCAGCACTCTCCAAGCTTCCACGTAGCAGGTTAGTGGATGCTGCAGGCCTCAGCCTTAGATAAGCGAGACCAACACAGGGACCCACTGTTCCCGAACTCCGACAGAAGAGAAGAAGAAGGAAGGCCGCTTCTCCCCTCTTATTTATACCATGATTTACGTAAAAATTGTATGGAATACTGGAACACTGCCCCTTCCTTGGTTACCAACTGGTAACCAGGGAAGGCCTAGATTAAAACCACCACAATATAATATAACCATATATTGCTATAATTATAAGAAGTTATAAAAAATTTCAAATTATCCTCATAAGCCAGGTGTCTACAATTAAAAAGTTCTAATCAAAAGTCTTTCACAATCTACGTCAGTCTGGTAGTTGATGTGCATTTCACGCGAGCGGGAAAGAACAACACATCTATAAGATGCAGATTCAAATCCATTTTATTATCAGAAGGCTACTCAATATATAATCTTTTGAGTCCTGGACATGCGACCAGGAGCACAGCATGCTATTATGATTGGTCAGCACACACTGTCCACGCGCCTCAGACAGGTCAACGATTGGTAGTCTTAAAGCACACATTCCTGGGAAAAGTTTCTGTTATCACCGTTTCTCACACATTGCTTTCTGCTGACCTCTGCATTCCTGCAGCTGCAAACTTGTTCTTGTTTGTCTAACGGTCAGCTCCTGACCTTCTCAGAACCCAGCACAATCCTTTAAAACTGCTAAGGCCACAGCACTGATGTAAATATTAACCTGTAATACTAATACCATTTACTTGCAAAATCTGCTATTCCAGACACTGAGATTAAATTATGCAACAAGAATTGCAGTAAATCAAGTTGTACACTACTTTAAAACTAAAATGCATTCACTTACTACAATAGGTTATGCTCTGTTCTATCTCCCTTACTGCCCATTGAAATATAAAGCTTATTTTCTCTCTCCTTTCAGCCCATATATGTTCATGAAAGGCAACAATAAACCTCTGACCACAGATGGAAACCAAATGCTCCGATAAAAACAGTTTTCATGGCTCTCATCAACAGAAGTGTGCATGTGTACACACATATTCATGGAGTCTCTGTAATAAAGTCCAGGTATCATTACTAGTCTCCAAACACAGTGCACTGCCAGTCCATTCCACAGTAATGGAGAAACTAATGGCTATAAGTATAACACCATTTTCAAGTGAAGAGGATGGGATATTTTTTTTCCATGTGTGTTCTGGTCTTGTTTTTAATCCCACTGAGACTTTAGATCACAATAAGACATGGTAGAAACTGTTGATTTCAGGAAATTCAAGGCATCAGTCTGGTCTAAATATATGTTTCAAATTCAGTGTAAACAGCAGTAAAAAGAACCATCAGTTGCTTTATTATTTTATTGTTTTTCCCCTTTGCCCCTGATATAAGTTATAGACCAATCAAATTCTTCATTTCATACATCTCTACATTTCTTCTTCATACAAATCCATATAGTGCTCACACATCCTCTAAGTGTCATATGGAAAATCAAATCACAAATTAACTTATATAACAAAATAAAGAAATAATTTTCCCCACCTTACTTTTACTTGTCCCATTTATCTATGTCTAAAGAAAAATGTCAATAAAACTACGTCTTTCAACAAAAAATACTTTTAAACTGTCTTAGTGTAACAAAATTACTTAAAGCAGTGTAAAAACCTATTATTTTCAAGCTTCATAAATATCAAACACAATTATAAAATGTCAGTATAAATAAGCACAGAGTTCTATGCACCAAATCTGTAATTAAGAGCTTAAAATGTATAGCTTCTCAGCAGAGCCCTTCAATATTACTCTCACTGCATATTTAGAGATCACTTCCTTCCCCTCCAACTTTGACATCTGAAATGGGCATATAAAAGACACATTGCATTTGAAAAAGAAGTATTTTAAAAATTAGAAACCTGAGCGACCCAACTGCAGAAATTCCCATCTCCTGAACTATTTACTGAAACATGTCAAAACTGCATTGTTTGTACCAACTCACAGAGTACCATTTGGGGTTCTACTATCCTGAAGAACAGAAATAAAGGGTCTGCATTTGAACAATAGGTTTTATGAGAGCATCAGTTACTCATTCATCATAGGCATGTAAGTTTTCTGGGAGCATCAGTTACGCATTCATCATAGGCATGTAAGTTTTCTTTTTGTGAATCTTAGCATGGACGCTGCTGCTGCTGCTATTGACTCTGTGTGTGAAGTTGCATAAAGCTTTACTTGCACAGAGATGCAACCAAAAAGTCTCATGGCTATATCTTCCCTCCCCCTCTACAGACAACAAATATTTGGGAGAGAGAAATGTATCTGCAAACACAAATGCAGGGCTAGAAACAGAAGCAGTAATGAGGCAAATTATCCTTCATGCATATTGCGAAGGTGAGGTGACAGTCTTAGATATAAACTGGTTGCTCTTGCGCAGTTAACAGTCTGTACATAGCAGCTGGCATGGTCTTCATATGAATCTAGAAGGTAATAAGATGTGTTAATCAATACTCCTATTAGGCATGCTACCAAACAAGAGTGTCCATAGTCTAGGGAGCACTAGGGAGGAAACTAGCTGAGGTAACATAGGACAGAAGGAAAAGCCTGAGAAGTTTCATATCCATATTAAGGTCTGGGGAAAAGGGATTCTCTAAGGTGTTGAGTATCTACCAACCATCTCAATTTTACTAGAAGTTGTGGACACTTCAATAATAAGAAAAACCTTGGTGGTTCTTATTCTCACTTCTAGTATTTATGTTTGAACAATAACAACCCAAAAGAGGCAATGATGATGAAATATGCAATACTATCTAGGCATAATGCTTGCTCCTACCTCACCAACAGCATTTGAGAGAATGCGAACAATTTTTTCATGAGGTGTTGCTACAACACTCTGCCCGTTGATTTCAATGATACAATGACCAACTCGCACTCCTCCTCACTCTGCTATACCTCCTCTCATAAGGCTACAGATCTGGAAGGGAAAGGACAAAATTATCACAGTTTTGACGTGGAACAGAGGCTTTTGACCACAAGCAATAATTCGATATTTACTGATTTAAGTTCAGTATTTATTTTTGCAACAAAGTCCAAAATGTAGTGGATCACTGATTCAAAGTAACATTTATTAGCAATTGAGTACTACACATTCTCTTCCAAAATAAACCATCCACAAAAAACTATCTGTATTATTCTTGTTACTTCATTATTTGAAAATTTAGGAGTGTATGAAGACTCATAGTTTACAAAAAGTTCAAGGTGCATAAGCCTTGCATTAAGAGACAGACTTTCTTTTGAGACCATATACAATGGTTCAGTCAGAGATACAAATACTACAGACTGAAAGCAGCCTAAACCATTGCTTTTACTCCTCTGATTGATTCTAAAGCTATAAAATAAAGTTTCTTTTCCTACTTTTGTCTGGGAAAGAAAGATGAATAACTTTAACCAGTTCAGCTTTGATATCCTAGACTCTGCAGCAGTAAAGGAAAAAATACAATTCATTACATATGTAAACTTTACCATATGTAAAAGCATCACCAGATGGTCTGGAAGCTACTTACAATCCCATTCTGTACACTGAAGCCTAACTGGTATCTGAGGTCAGGTCTCCTGATCAAGACCATGGTTACTGGAGGACATCTAACTACATTCAGTTTAATTTGGGCTTGGTTTTTCAAACCCTGAAAAAAAAAACAATCACCATGAAAACTGCTGACAAAGATGGGGTGCAGCAATTTAACATGAGCACTAGGAAAAACAATACCTAGAATGTTAACATGGGAATAGTCCTGAATAAGCAGTTCTTTGAATATATCATTATGAAACAGAATTCCTGAATACCAGACACAGGCAACAGGATGCTCTGAATTGAATGATGCAGTATAAAACTCTTCTTGTAAAGAAGCTCATATGGTTGTTTTAAATCTAGCTTCCTGTTGGCAATTTCTTCATTTGAGAACACAAATTATTGTTCTAAATGAAGCAAAGGAAATAAAAAGCAGGTCTATGCAGTTGACCAGAAAACCGCCAAACATTCTGGCTGGGAAATGAAATTTGAAATATGCAGTTAAGATAGATAGCTATAAATAAGTGGCTTTCCTGGTGTAGTTATATTTAATTTTGTAATGCAAACATAAAGTCTGTGTATTAAGCAATACTCGCATTTACATTATCCCTCCCTTCTAAACTGGATTTATCACATTCACCATTAAATCTTTGCTACCAGAAGAACTAAATGAAAAAGGAAAACCCAAACATAAAAGTGGAGATAATTGTAGAGTCTGACCATTACACATATTCAAGAGTTCAGAGCTGTTTTTCATAGATAAATCCAACTCCAGTGTTAGATTCCTTTTTTTTCTATACAACATATAGATTTGAACAGACATGAGTCTTAAATGTTGCATTTACACACATTTAGCCTTCAATAAGCAGAACACATATGGGAAAGAGATGCTATGTAGAGAGTGCAGTAACTTCAACCTTCAATCATGTTACCATTTATCAATTCCAACACCTGCTTTTGAATTTCTTTCATATGCACAAAGTCAAATATGGGTCCCATTGAAAACAGTGGGTTGTCTGCGGTGGATTTAATTTAGAAAAATAACTCCTATTACAGCTAAGGTAATATACTGATGTCTCTACATGAAGTTTATTATGGCTGATTTTGTTGAGTCTAACTCTAGACTTGGTACTGACTGGAGACTGACATTCTGCTGGGATGAAAAGTCAATGCTGTCTGGACATGACAGTTGCACACTCCCTGAATCTGTTTCTGATAGTAGTTAGCACCAGGTGCTTCTGAAAAAGACATAATTAGCATAATACAATTAGGGAATAGCTATCACATATGGAAAGTTTCTTCATAGATCTGTCAGTTTTTAAATGGTTTATGCCTTCAGGCATCCATGTGCTCTGGTGTCAGGTACTCCATGGGCTGCAGGAGGACAGCCTGCCTCACCATGGTCTTCATCACAGGCTGCAGGGGAATCTCTGCACCCAGAGCACCTCCCACCCCTCCTTCACTGACTTCAGTGTCTGCAGAGTTGTTTCTCTCACATGTTCTCACTCTTCTGACTGCTGCAGTTGCTGTTGCAAAGAAACTTTTTCCCTTCTTAAATATGTTATCACAGAGGCACTGTCACCATTGCTGAAGGGCTCAGCCTTGGCCAGTGATGGGTCCGTCTTAGAGCTGACTGGCATTGGCTCTACTGGACATAGGGAAATCTTCTAACAGCTTCTCACTCTAGCCCCCCTGTAGCCCCCTGCCACTCCAAAACCCCTGCCATGCAAAACCAATACAACCACAGCGGTGTTAATTGTCCCAATGAAAGCATATGTTTTGTGTATTGATGTGTTGGCAGGATGAAGAGTTGAGAATTCAAATGGTTGCTTCTGCTTCAGGGCATGGCAAGAGGAATTTGCTATTTGACCTATAACTATCTTGGGTGGATTACAGAAGCAGGCCTGTGAAAACCTCATGAAGTTTAAATAGTATATTTCTTGTTATATTACTTGTGGGAGCCCCTGGTGGTCTAGAGGGTAAAGGCACTGCACTGTCACTGCAGAGACCTGGGTTCGATTCCCGGTCGGGGCCACTCCCCGGGCAGATGGAGCTCGTTAGCCCTGTAAGGCAATCCATCTACGTCCTGAGGACCTCGCTGCCACCGTCCAAGCTCGCTTGGCCCGGGCAGATGAACCTTAGGATTAAAGGGTGGGCTCAGTTCCGCGCACACTGTGTCTCACCTAAAAAATCCAATGCGTAGGATGGAAGGTGTAAAGACCTTCCCCGGTTCTTCGTTCGCAAAGACTGGCCATTACACTTTACATATTACTTGTCAGTGCATGGTGCTTACATTTTCAGAAACCAGAATATCAGATCTTTATAGCGAATTTTTTATTTCAAACATTAAGAAAGGAATCCATGGGCAACAAAGAGAGAGTTATTTTGCGAATTTCTAAACATTTTTTTACTGCAGAACACCACTACTCAGCAGAGACATAGAAATATTTCTATAGTCATATATAACATTACATTGCATGTTTACATGCTACAATATACAGCAGTTCTGTGGTGATTGCCTATTTCAATAGGTAACCCAGAAGACAATTTAGCTGAATTTCCAACGCTCTCTAAGGTTGCATCTTTCCCCCTCCGGAAACTGTGATGTTCAAATACCCCTTCTCTTGTATGTTGCATCTACCCCAGAGGCTCTTCATTTCCAGTTGACTTGCTGGCTTTTTGCATTTATATACTCTCATATCAATTACAAGGAAGTTCTTCCAAATAAAGAAATCCCACCATTTAGCCAAGTTCAAAGAAACATAATACTTTCCAATACACTCAAGTTGTTTCTACAGAAAATAAAAAGGCTTACCTTTTCTTTTAAATTCAAAGTTTAGAAAAATTGTCAAATATATTTTGAAAAAACAAGCTTTTTTTAAAAAATTACTCTGTTCTCTAGAAACTAGTTCACAGGAATAATTTAAATGGCTAAAATTGCACCAATTCAGATTTTAGGCCCCTGTGTCTCACACTGTCCTATGAAGTTTAGGTGCCTCTAGAGAGTAACAGACATCTTCCTTTTGGATCTAAATATTTCCTTGGGGCCTGAAGTCCTGCATAGCTCCCTACTTAGGGATCAGAAAATAGGTAAAACAGAATTTTCCCTCTACTTTAAGGTCATCAAAAGGAAACTGCTATAAAATGCACAAGATCAGAGTTAACAAACAACAACTAGTTCTATATTCTTTGCCCTCCCACTACTCCAATAAAGTTTTTAAAACATGTAATATCCAGGTATATTCTCTGTACCTTTATAATGCTCTGGCATGTTGAGAGTGGTAAGCCAACCAAACTGGTCCCATTAATTGACATGATCTGGTCCCCTATATTTAGTTTCCCAGACTTCTCTGCTGGTCCTCCGTGCATCATGTTGGCTATGATAACTGTAGGCAAAATGGATCCCCAGCCAGATTCCACAATCACTACACCTAGAATTTCTCCCTTTTGCTTTTCAACGTAAACCTGAATCATAAGAAAGAGAGTTTCAAACAAAAGGTTTTTTCTCATTTATGGAACTGATGATCCCACCCCCATATGTTTTCATATAAACAAACATGGGCTTTTAATTTGCAAAATGCATTTCTTATTCAAAGGCAAAACACAATAGGGTATATAGTTTAACACAGTTTAGATGTCTTTAATCAGCAAATAAGGTTAAAACTAGAGATTTTGTTTAATTCAAAATCCCCTCTAAATAGAACTCATCTGTTCATACAGCTGGAGGGAGCTGGTATAGAAGAAACCCTGGCATGATGGACTTTGGTGGACAGAACTAAGTCAGGGAGGGATTTAAAGCAATTGTGACTGTGTTTTCAGAAGCAATTACCCGTGTGTTACATTGTGACACTACTTCATCTTTATTAATAAAACCAGTATCAAATATATAGCCTTTTTAAATCCAGGGTCAACCACTCTTATCAGTCTTAATGCCTCCAAAAATTTTATGCTGTCTACTTTATATTCACTTCACTGATGCAATGTCTCAAAGGGGAAAATTGTTTGGTAAAAAGAAGGCACAGAGACATTAAATCATTCAGCTATTGACAAATTTAGGGTTCACTGCTTCTTCTTAAAATAGAATTGACCACAGAATAAACCCACTGGGGAGGACAGAAATTACGTCAGTGAGGTTATTTATTGGAAGCACTAATAGCTTTCTAGTTGTTGACAGTACAGGCCTGAACTCAGGATACATGTACTTAATGGTGCCATGGGAAAAAAAAAAAAAAAAAAAGCAGAGACGTACGTCTTTGCAGTTTTCAGATTTGGAAAAATGAATCAGGTCATCATTGTACATGTCCTGGGTATTGAGCAAGTTATTATATTCCTTCTGGCTTAGATCTTCTGGATTGATTCCATTTGCCCTCAGAAATTCCTGGTAGGCCACGCTAAATGCTTGACCTATAGACTGTGCAATCAACTGTGCCTGTAGTAATACCCAAAGAAGAAAAGAAGAACATCAGACATTCCAATGGTTTCATTGATTGACAAGTTCTCTGTTATAAACATGTTGCAAAATGGTTGATGCCTACAAGATAAGGAAATGTAATAAATTTTTTAAAAATTAACCTAAAGTAATAATTTAAAAAGTAAAACAGAACACTGGGATAGTCATCCATGCAGTGAACTCAGATGAGCAAGTAACTACACATAAGAAACACAAGTAAAACCTTCCTTTCACAGATAACTACTGCTAACATAAAGGTATACCCATTGCATTACTTGAAACTGAGACTCCAGAGGGAGAACTTGAGCTCTCACCTGTGCTAGTTTTCACTTCTGGCACAAAGGCAAGCTGTCAATAAAAAATTAAAACATCTTCTAGAAAACACACAATAGAATTTTAAAACGTAATGAGAAGGCCTTTAAAAGAAGGCAAAAGTATCTTGGACTGCATTAGGAAGAGTATTGAGAGCAGGTTGAGGGAGGTGATCCTTCCTCTCTACTCAGCACTGGTGAGGCCGCACCTGGAGTCCTGTGTCCAGTTCTGGGCTCCCCAGTACAAGAGAGATATGGACATAATGGAGAGAGTCCAGAGAAGGACCAAAAAGATGATGATTCAGGGACTGGAACATCTGACATAGGTGGAGAGGCTGAGACCTGGGACTGTCCATCCTAGAGAAGAGAAGGTTCGTAAGGGATCTCATCAATATATATAGTTGATGAGAGAGCGTAAAGAAGATGGAACCAGGCTCTTTGCAGTGGTGCCTGGTGACAGGACAAGAAGTAATGGAAACACAGAAAATTCCACTTAAACGTAAGAACAAACTTTTCTACTGTGAGGATGTGGTTGAATACAGAAACAGATTGCCCAGAGAGGTCTCCTTACAGATACTCAAAACACAACTGGGCACTTGTTCTAGTGGACCTTGCTTGAGCAGAGGGGATTCAACTAGACAGTCTGTAGAGGTGCTGTCTCAACTATGCTATGATGCTATGGTATTTCCTACATTTCCTTCATGTCCATACTTTTTGCCTTTAAAATTCTCACAACCTTGTTTGAAGTTACTGTCAGATAAAATATGGAAAGGGTAGAAACAACTGGCCCATTGAGCAGATCTAACCCTTAATGTGACTGGAAGTGGTCCACGATCACAGAATCATTCAGGTTGGAAGGGACCTCAGAGGGTCTCTAGTCCAACCTCCTGTTTAAAGAAATCAACTATGAGGTCAGACCAGGTTGCTCAGGGTTTTTTGTCAGGTATTGAAAATCTTCAAGGACAGTCTATATAACTTCTCTGGGCAGCCTGTTCCAATGCTTGACAGTCCTTATGGTGAAAGTTTTTCCTTGTATCCAGTCTGAACCTTTCTTGTCTCAATACATGCCCGATAGCTCTCATACTCCCACCATGCACCACTGTGAGGACCCTGGTTCCATCTTCACAGAATCCCACTGAACATGCTGAGTTGGAAGGGACCCACAAGGATCATCAAGTCCAACTCCTAGACCTGCACAGGACCATTCCCAAGAGTCACACCATGTGCCTGAAAGTATCGTCCAAATGCTTCTTGAACTCTGTCAGGCCTGGTGCAATGACCACTTCCCTGGGGAGCCTGTTCCAGCACCCAACCACCCTCTGGGTGAAGAACCTTTTTTTAATATCTGATCTAATATCTAATCTAAACGTTCCTCGACATAACTTTAGGCCATTCCCTTGGGTTCTCTGGTCTCCCCTCAGTCTCATCTTCTCCAGGTTGAACAGACTGAGTGACCTCAGCTGCTCCTCATACGGCTTCCTCTCAAGGCCCACACCATCTTCGTTGCCCTCCTTTGGACTCTCTCTAATAGCCTAATGTCTTTCCTATATTGCCCTCCTGGCTGCCATGGCACTGCTGACTCGTCCAACTTGCCGTTGACCAGGACCCCCAGGTCTCTTTCCGTTGCACTGCTTTCTAACATCTCGTTCCCCAGTCTGTCCATACATCCGAGGTTGCCCCATCCCAGGTGCATAATCTGGCCCTGTCCCTTGTTGAACTTCCTATGGTTGGTGATTGCCCAGCCCTCTAATTTGTCAAGGTCTCTCTGCAGGGCCTCCCTGCAGGGACTCCCTGCCTTCAGGGGACTCAACAGTTCCTCTGAGCTTTGCATCTCCTGCAAACTTGCTTAGTATCCCTTCCAGTCCTGCATCCAAGTGATTTATAAAGGTGTTGAAGAGCATGAGGCCTAAGATGGAGCTCTGTGGAACCCCACTAGTGACAGGTCGCCAGTCTGATGTTACCCCATTCACTATTACTCTCTGTGCTTGACCCGCAAGCCAATTGCTCACCCACCTTGTGATGTGTTTATCCAGCTGTGGGTTGGACATTTTGTCCAGAAGGATCCTATAAGAGACAGCATCAAAAGTTTTACTGAAGTCCCAAAAGATTATATCAACTGGCTCGGATATTGGAAGGTTGCTGATAGGGCCCCCTGAAACCTTCTCTTCTCCAGGCTGAACAAGCCCTGTTGCCTCAGTCTCTCCTCATAGGGCAAGTACTCCAGTCCCCTGATCATCTCGATGACCTTCTGATGAACTTACTGCAGTTTGTTGATGCATTTCTTGAATTAATGGGGGATGGGGGGATTTGTGCAGAATATTCTACATGTGGTCTAACAAGTGTTAAGTTGAGAGGAAGAATTATTTCCTGCAATTTACAACTTATGCTCCTTTTAATCCAACCCAGGATGCTGTTGATCTTCTTTGCTGACAGGGCGTACTGCTGGCTCATGTTCAACATTGCTGTCTTCCAAGGCTCCCAGGGCCTTTTCAGCAGAGTTGAAAAGTCCCAACCTGTTTTGTTGCCAGGGTTTCTTCCTCCCTAGATGCAGGACTTGTCATTGGTCCTTGTTGAATTTCATGAATGAAGTTCAGTGGGCTTCCAACCCACTCCACCTAGTCTGTATGGCTCTCTCCTATGCCTATGACTTGCTCTTGACTTCTCTGCTTCTAATGCTACTGAATGCTCCATAGCTTTCATTCACTCACTGCACTCTGTGAGCTATTCTAGTGACTGAACAAAAGGGAATATTGCACCCATTTTTAAAAAAGGCAGTTGATTCCCTAGAGGCAAGGGATGCCTGCCATCTAGATGGGCCTTGACGGGCTTGAGGAGTAGACCTGTGCTAACCTCACAAAGTTCAACAAGGCCAAGTGTCAGGATCTGCACCTGAGTTGGAGCAATCCCTATATCAATACAGACTGGGGCATGGCAAGATTGAGAGCAGCCCTGCGGAGAAGGACTTGGGGATACTGGTTGGATGAGAAATTGGACGTGAATCAGCAATGTGTGCTTGCAACCCAGAAAGCCAATCGTGTCCTGGGCTGCATCAAAAGCAGTGTGACCAGCAGGTCGAGGGAGGTGATTCTGTCCCTCTACTGTGCCCTCATGAGACTCCACCTGGAGTGCTGCATCCAGCTCTGGGGGCCCCAAGATAAGAAGGAGGTGGACCCATTAGAGCGGGTCCAGAGGAGGGCCACCAAGATGATCAGAAGGCTGAAACACTTCTCCTATGAAGAAAGGTTGAGAGAGTTGGGATTGTTCACTCTGGAGAAGGCACTGGAGAGACCTTATTGTGGCCTTTCAGTATAGAAAGGGGGCTTATAAGAAAGACAGAGGGAGATGTTTTTACCAGGACTTGTAGTGACGGGGCAGGGGGCAACCGTTTTAAACTGAGAGAGGGTAGGTTTAAATTAGATATAAGGAAGAATTTGTTTTATTATGAGGGTGGTGAGACGTTAGAACAGGTTGCCCAGAGAAGTTGTGATCCAAGATGCCTGTGATCCAAATGGTAATGGAATCTGACAACATGCTATAAAACAAAGCTTTTCTGAGGCAGTAGGAAATATGAGCAACAACCCGTTCATATGGTGACTCACTCGATCCCCAATAGCAAACACAGGATCATAAGCGATGCCATGGCTCTGGTGGACTGCCAGGGACACTTTTTGTCTGTGTCCTCTGGCAGCAACAGCCAATTGTACAAATGCCTTTTGAATGTGGGTAAGAGTCGGGTTGCCCCATGGGTCCACCAGAGGTACTGTGTGTAAGAGTAAACACCCTTTCCCGGAACATTTTGCTACCAAGGAGTCTATTATTTTGCTTCGGAAAGGCTTCCCTGCCACTTTCTCAAAGCAATGCTGTTGTCTCCCCCCCCCCCCCTCCCCATTCCAGAAGTTCACTCTCTGATATGTGAGGAGACAGCAGATGCCACAGGGCTTCACATCCAGTGCGGAGAGAGGGTTGAGCAGAGATAATGAAACTCAAAGAAGAAACAAGAGCCTTGCCTTTCTCAGCCCCAGTGCTCCTTTGCAGCCTGGGGCAGGTTTCCTTTATAAGCTTTTAGCATTCTTGTCTACCGAATGAAGCCTTTTTGGATTCTTTCCACTGCCATGGCATTTTTGGGGGGACCTGTGTGTATCTTACGACACACTGTGATTTCACAGAAGTATACCATATGTGAATAATGCAGGTGACATCTTACCTACACTGCTGATATCAGTCAGGGGCAGGTGTTGGTGGTATGTCTATGCTGCCGATAATGGTCAAGGGGCAGGGTGTCGGTAGGCAGGGTGTCAGTGTCCCATCATTGGAAGTGTTCAAAGTCAGGTTGGAAGGGGCTCTGAGCAAGCTCATCTAGTGAAAGACGTCCTTGCCCATGGCAGGGGGGTTGGACTAGATGGTTTTTAAAGGTCCCTTCCAACCCAAACCAATCTATGATTCTATGATTCTAGCTTCTACCACCTTCTACTGGTGGTAGAGGCAGGAATGGGTAGAAAAAAAAAAAAAAACAAAAAAAAAAAAGGCATGTAAAGGGAAAGCTCTGATCTCTGTGCCAGGCAAGGAAGCAGCTGAAAAGAGTGGAATCTGCTGTGAGGTGATCAAGGTAAACTTGGAATGATTTACATATTGTTTACAAGTGGAAAGCAACATGGCATGAGCATAGAG